AATAACTTGTTCGATGAGTGTCGGCGATACCGAGGCTGCTTCAGCTGGAACACAGTTTCATTCAGCATGCAGCTAAATAAATGCCTTTTAATGTAACTAATTTAACTGCAAGCGGGTGTTGTAGCTATTTCTGTAGCCAGATTTTCTCGCTCACTTAGTTTTACTTGCGTTATATTATTCGTCGAGTGCTCCAAAGATACTGTGCTCAAACAGCATCTTACAGTTGTGTGATAATCTTGAGCAAGTTATTTATGTCATAGTGTCTCGGATCATCCATCCGATAGCATACTTGTTACGTTGTGACGTGCAATACAGATTTTTCGGTTAATAGTCGTGGCTTTTGAAAAAATTAGTACATGGTTAGTGAGTGTGTATGAGGAGCTTAAGTAATTGGGCAAAAGAAATCTGTATCAGGCTAGCCTTCTGAACAGAGCTCCAGTTGATGATCACTACCAGAGTGGGCGACTAAGTCAGAAGCCTTTCAACTGTAAGGAAGATATCGGGCTATTGATCTGATACTTGTCAGTACCCATACCGGCAATGACAACCTTAAGGCGAAATATTCTTTCTTCTTCTTTTTACTAGGTGATTGTATTGTGTTTTCAAATAATTGTCTAAAACTGCACTCATCGTAAAGTTGTAACGATTTCATATGTGGCATTTGTTTCACTGCTCTAAATACATCGAGTAATCTTATTTTTGTTGTTCAACGTACATTTAAGTCATTGCTTTTCACTCACATATTTGTAGATTCTATCAGTTTTAATTGTTGATAGCCTTATGTTAAATATTCAATTTTATTTGATTCTGTCAGATGTTGATCATTTAGTTAATGATTTAATACAGTCAACTAGAAGAAGTCGTTAAATCCTTGCTATATTAAATGCTAATACTCTTTGTTTTGTGGAAAATTTTTTATCAATAGATAATATATAAAGTATTTTCTTTTGAAACAGAAAGAGTTTATTTAAATAGTTATTGAAATAGTCACCAATGTACTTTCAATATATTTTTCTTGCTGAAAATCTTTTTACATTAACGACGAATAGATACGTGAATATTTAATGTTCAAATATATTAGTGACTTTAAATTTTTCACAATTCTAGTTGATAACATATTGTCGATATTTCATAGTGAGCCTTATTATATATAATGACTGTTAAATATTTAAGATCTTTAATATACAATGTGCAGTAGTTATTGGTCATGTAGCGTGAAACGGAAGATTTTCAGAATCTAATGCTGACGAAGTAATATTTGGATGGGATTTGTCAGATGTTTACAATATTAAACAAAGTTCAGAAATAGAAAAAAAATCTCTACTTGATATTTTAGAAGAGGTTTTCATATTGAACAAGTTATTACAGACTTACATTATAGATTTTACTACAAATATGAGGAAAGAAGATAACGTGGATTATCTACTATTATCGCCGATAAATTAAAATATGCGTTGCCATTTTTTGAATAGCTAGTAATAAACCGTGATAAAAACTTTTAGTTTTCACGTTTCGATAACCAGACTTTAAACCATCTTTCTATAACAAAAAGAGTTTAAAAAAGGGAGTGGAGCGGATAAGACCCTTTCCTGGCCCCCAAAATTTTCGTTGTCAGGGATCGAAAAACTAAAATAGATAGTGATTCAGATGTAGAATTTTATGCTGAATCCGAATATAAAATTAGAAAAATTACAAAGCTCAAACTTTTTTGAAATAGAGCCGAATGACATATATCTCAGGTGTCATTATCTATTTTAGTTTTTCGATGCTTCCTCGGCTACGGGACCTCGAAATACCTTTTCTGGGGGAAAACAATAAAATTGGGGTAAATTGAAGATTACGCCTTATCAAACCATTTTGGACACTTCTAATACGGATATTCGTGATCAGCGTGGTTGATTACATATTACCAGGCGGGTTTTTCGAAACTAAGTTTGTTATCCCTCTGTATAGAATTAAGGATCCTCTTCACAATGGGAATCATTTTGATTCTCAAAAAATGGTTCTATCGTAAGTTATAAATTTTTTGAATTTTTTATACCTTGACAATAGTTTTCTTAGTTTTTTACTTTTTAGAGCTTTTTCAGTTCTTCAGAGAAAAGATAAAATTGTTTTAACAGCAAAAGCTTTTTTTCCAATGTTCAAAAGTGTATTTTGGACATTCTACGAAGTTGTTACTTATAATAATTTCGTAAGCTAAGGGAAACCATCTGGCTAGCTGAGAGAAAGGAAAAGAGGACATACTGTAATTCATAATCTTTTCCTCCCATTAAATCTGAGAATAAGCGAGGACTTTTTACTATGAAAGGTTAAGAACGATAGATTTTTAACAGCTAAAATGTCGATGATATTTTTAAATTGTATTGTTGAACGTAAAGTTTTAGTAATTTCCCCGTAATAGTAGATCATCTTCTATTAGACGACCACTGATGATGATTTTTTGCTGAGATCTCCTCGATTTTTGGCCAAAAATTGGCTTGAGTTGCTCGCCTTAATAGAAGACCACTATGATCTTCTATCACAGAAGGAGAGGAACTTACGTAACATCTCGAACTATGATGTACGGTGATACCTGTTCTAGGGCAGGAATTTATGTCATAGAATGACATAAATTTAAAGCTGAAAGGATCGAGAGATCCTGCAATACTTATATGTGAACGGTCTTAGAGTGTTCTACTTACTAAAGCATTTACTTTTTTTTGGTTTCTAGGAACGATTGAACCGACCATTTGTCGATAATTATAATGGCCAACTGGTCGATTACTACAATCAACTACCAGATATGATGGATAATGGTATATATAATGGTGAATAGAAATACGCTACGACTATATATTGTTCTATTTTTATTTGTAGATCCGATTGACGGCGAAAATTACTCTTGGTTATTCCGTTCCAAAAAGTTCTGTTGCGCACCACCATTGTAGTAGAAGCACCATATAATTATCAGTAACACAAAAATTAGACAACATCTATATTTTGTATAGTTGATACGTGATTTTTTTGTATGATTATAAGAATATGCATTACGGATAAAGAATGACATAATTGAGTTGATTCTAATTTTGTTGTTCAACAAATTTTCTGTCGTGTGAAATTGAATTTCTTATATAACCATGGAATACTTGAGTTTTACAGCAACACACAAACAATTTTAATACAATAATAACAGCATTTCTCTCGAGTAATATAAATGAAAGTTACAAACAATGAGTATTAAGCATGTAGATGGAATAGTTAACTTTTATTATGTACCATGGTATGTTACCAAAATAAAACGAAAGAAAGAAAGAAGTAGATGCTGTTGCTTCCCAGATTCCTTCCCTATTTTAACTGCGACGAAGGTTGTGTTTGCCTTATTCTGTACCCAGAACTGATGATTGTCCTCAGTCACAAACTTAATCGATTCTTACTAAGATCGTGAGACCCGAAATTTGAAGATTTGATCAGGTTTTGCTAAGATCTGTGTTAGCTCTTACAAAGATTATACTGTCTACGATTTTTTCAAGATTGAATAAGAATCTGTTAGAATCTTAATAACTTCTGCCAAGTTCCTAGTAGGCAACTATATATAGTCCTCTCTGCTGCCACTTAAAGTTTACAATTAGTCTGATCAATTTAATAGAGATAATCACTTGTAAAAGCGCTGGTAAAAATCTCTCCACAGAATAAAAAAGCAGCTTGAAGCGAAATTTTTTCAAAATCATCCGTCCTGTAGGGTAAAACAATTTTTCGAAAGCATGAATTATTATTTGCCAACAGAAAAACATGCTTATTTTTCGAACAGTGTGGTACTGTCTAAAAAAATTAGTTTTTTTAAAAAACGCCGAAAGATTTCTATTTAACAAGAAACGCTTAATTTCGGTTTGCATGTGACAAAATCCAAAAAGAATTTTATCACTGATATTATTTTACTTCATAAATGCACAGTACAGCAACATTTTTATTTTATGCAACAAAATTCATTTCATTTCAAGTGCTGTGAAAGAGAATACTTAAGTATGACGAAAAAAACTGATGAACGACAGGCAGCGACTATTGAACAATGAAGCTAGCTGTGATTAACTGAATACTGATGGATGACTACTAAAGTTTATCTATTTTTCAGAATTTTTTATCCGCCATCCAACACTCATCTTTCCACAAAGGCTGAAACATCTGAACAACAAGAGGCCGCATTTCTGTACGTGGTCTGTACTGGATTTTTTCTTCGAAATTTTTTGCTAAATCTTTGTGATATACGTCATTCGATAAACTTTTGTAGTGTTTTTGAATATGCTGTTTCATTTTTTCAGCATAGAAAAACGAATTTTACATGAAAACTTTTGTCTCTTTCGAAAATGTATTGTGAAGTAGAAGAAGATAGCAAAGAAGATTTATGCAAATTTTAAGCTCTATTAAACAAATGCTGGGAAAAGCTGGAAAACCCATCATACTAAACAGTTACTGGTCAGAAATTTTCTCAGTGTGGAAAATATTAGCTTACTTAGTTAAATAAAATTTTATAAGAAATGTCTGGATCATTGCCCACTGTGCAGTATGATCTTAATGTAAAGCGCAGAAGTGTTTATTATTGGAGTGAAAGATGATGCAATAAAACTTCAAAAAACTACCATATGAATTTGTACCGTATTCGTAGAAATTAATTACGACAATATTACGTACTGTAGAACTGATCTTTTTCTTTTTTGCATTAAGAATTATTATGAAAAAAGTAGTAAAACAAAAATGTCCTATCACATAAGTTATAACGCCTCTAATAAACAAAATATTATATACAATCATCAACGATATAAAGATGTTGTTTCTAATGGTGTCACAATGTCGAAAATTATTGTATCGATTGATGCTAATGAATACTTGGTCGTCTTTTTCATATTTTTTAGATTTAAACTGTTGTCTAAGTTACCGATAATTATCTGATAGGGATACGACTATTTTGTATCTAAGAATATTCCGAGATTCCACGTGCCACTGTGCCATGAATATTTTCTTTTTTTTTAGACAGTTGTCATTCTTAATTCGATTCCTTTGTTGTCATTAAAATCTGGTGGATAAAAGTCATCTATTTCAATTGGTGTATAAGAATAACCGCGTGTGTAGATTGCTGTTAAATCAACATTTGACATAATTGAATTTGACCGTGATGAATGATTTAAACGAGGTGTTGTACGAGTTGCATTTAAACGAATATAATTTGCTGGAGATGGTGGAGAACTATTACTTCTAACATCGTTAGTTAAACGTTTTTTTGATGGAGATTTTATCTTGTCTATATCATAAGTTTTATTTGGACTACAAATTCGTTTACCATTTTTTTCTTGTTGTTGTTTATTTATTCCATTGGCAGTTATGTGTGTTTTCAATATGTGTCCATTCTGTGACGAATTTGATTTACATTTTTTTTTTTTAAAAATTCGATCAATCATACAAAATATTGTAGCAAAAACGAGTACAAATATGAATATAGATAAACTAATAACTATTATAATTATATATTGACTTTTTGTTGGTGTTGAGTTTTTAAATTGTTTAAAAAATGTTTGTTCGGTAGTTGATAACGTATTATAATTAGCTGAACGTGAATTACTGTTTCGTTTTCCGTGTGTTTCATTTGTACGTAACAAAATATCTTGTGTTAATTTAGATGATGTCCAATCAGTATCATTTGAACCAATATAAAATACAATAGTTTCTAATACAATACACGATGTTATTCCATCAAAATTTTTAATTTGAATATTTAAACTTAAATAACCATCGTCAATCGACGATGAATGAATAACAAGTGAACCGTTCGAGTATAATTTAACATAGTAAGAATTTTTAATTGGATTTATATTTATTAAATCGAATGTAATATTTTCATTCACTCGGATATATTTTTCATACAATTGACGATTAAATATTGGTATGAGATCTCGATTGATCATTACTAAAGTTTTTGATAATGAATCAAGTTTAGCACATTTATCGTCCACGTCTACAATTGCCACTATAATTGGAATAAATGTTAGATGTCTCGGATTTCCATTATCAAATACTTGGATGAAAATATCGTATGTCGATTTTAATTCTCGATCCATTATACCGTTCACAGTGAAAATTATTAGTAACATCTTAAAAATGAGACAAATTACATGGGATAAAATTGTATTTTAGTTTTCAATTACCTGGTTGGATTGAGATATTGTTTTAGTAATATTTTGAGAATTAATACTAAATGGAATCATTGTCATCGTTTCACTGTCATTATAATGAATATTATAACCAAGTAAACCATTTTGACCAATATCCACATCATGACATTGAATACGTCCAATAATTGTTCCATACGCACTACTTTCTTTTACTAACCATTTGATTTTTGATTGATCGATCGTTTGATTATCAGATAGATCGTAACACATTGGTGCATGATCGTTTTGATCAGTAATAAAGAAGACAATGTTTGTACGCGATGCCCGTGATAAATTTCCTAGAATACAAACAATTCATTGATATTTTTTCTTTAAAGATATTTGATAATAATATAATGTGTTCTATACTGATGTTAGTCGAGTTACCTTTATCTCTTGCTTCCACTTCCATTGCATATTTATCTCTTATTTCTCTATCAAATGACTTTATTGCTCGAATAATTCCTGTCTGTTGATCGATTGTAAATGAATGTTTAATATCATTATCGGTAGTAATAATTTGATATTCAATTTTTCCATTTAATCCTTTGTCGGAATCATATGCTTGAACATGATAGACTTCGTAACCATTCGTATCACTTATACTCACATGTTCATTTACTGTTGCCGTCATGTTTTGTTGAAGAAATTTTGGTGATACATCATTAACATCTGTAACAATTACGTGGATATCGAGTACTGTTGTTAGACGAGGATTTCCATTGTCCGATGCCATAATACCAAATTTATACTGTTCAATTGATTCACGATCAAGCGATTGAATTAAACGTAAATCACCAGCATTATCTGCCGCACGAGATATATCAAATGGCAATTGCTGATTACTGTTATTATTTACCAATTTCCATGTTACTTGTCCACTATCGCCAAAATCATTATCAGTGATTATAAATGAAAATAAAACGGTATTCGGTTGAAATGATTCACTTAAATATAAAATAATATGTTCTTGATCGATTTGTGTATAAACATTTGTTTTTTCATGACTAGATGAATATGGTATAGATTCTAATTGACTAGGATACAATTGAAATAGAGGTCGATTATCATTAACATTAACAACATTTACATGAACCGTACAATAACCGGTTTTTGATCCTTCTCCATCATCTTTTGCTTCAATTTCTAAACTATATTGTTGACGATATTCATAATCGAGTTGACAAGTTAATCGAATTTGTCCCGTATTTTCATTCAAATCAAAACAAGATGTTGTTTCATCATGACTCGATGATAATAACTGATATGTTAACTGGGCATTACGTCCTTCATCGAAATCATTAGCATGAACTTGAACAAGAACTGTACCAATTGGTGAATTTTCAGAAATATTACTATAATAATGACTTTTATCAAATATTGGTGAATGATCATTAACATCCTGAATTGTAACAAATATACGAACAAATCCTGTCTGATTACCACCATCAGAAGCCACAAGTAAAAATGTATAAGATGAATCTTTTTCACGATCCAGTTGTTCATGAACAATCAAAGACAAATCACCACGATTAATATCATATTGAACAACGAACGGTAGACCCGACGATGGTATTAAATGATAAGCTAAAAACAACGAAAAATATCGTTTTGACACACTTTTTCCCAACAATGATGAGAACTACTATCCATTTCAAAATAGCTAATGGAATGTGTTTGAAATAACGAAGGCGGTGATAGATAAGGGAAAGTTGCAGTTTCTGCCATTCTAGAAAGGAGATATTATCACATTTATTCGTAACAGAAAAATTTGAAATCTCTCTCAAGAAAATCTCTCAAGGTCAACAAAAATTCAAATAGAATTGTATTCATTTTTTATATGGGTCGATAGGGTCCTCTCTAAAATAAGAACCTTTTACCTTCTTCGTTTATTGTCATTTGAGCATGAAATCCAATTTCCTAGATGGTCAACGACTGGTATGAGATTATTTGCAGGAACTCTGGCGAACCTAGTTTATCGATCACGTTCAGTCTCTTAGTGATGTTTGTTTTTTGAAAAGGGCTGAAAAACCTAGTCACGAATTCAACTCTAATTTACCTAAGAATATATTGTTTTAGACTAATTTGTTATTAAAAACATGCATGAAACATTCAAATTGATCGAAATCAACGTGAAGTTTCAGAATATATGCAAGTTGAATGGTTTCGTGTGATATGGTAGTTCGAAAAAATGCAAACATATCATTCCCATTATCTAAATCACTGGAAAACCATTTTGATATTAAACTCAATTTTCGTCTTCTTTCTGTTTTCTGTACATAAAAAAAGTTACTGCTGTAATCATATTCTGAAGTTTTCATGATCTGTCGTTAAATTGATAAAACAGTGACCGTAACTGTTTTTAGAATCATATTTATTTAATTAAAATTAAAAATCTTTTCATAAAAATAAAGTCAACGTTTCGAATATGACTGAATTCATCTCTATTGTCTTAAAAAATGAAAATTACAATTTTCGAAATGTCGGCTTTATTTTTATGAAAAGATTTTTAATTTTAATTAAATAAATATGACATATCAATTCTAAAATTTCTACCTCTGAACACGTATAATATCGATAATGTTGATCTCAATCGATATTTTTACTGATTCATGGATATTTTTAATACTTGTTGTATCCATCATCGTTCTCGTCATTCAAAAAACATTCATGAGCTATTTTGAAATGAATAGTGATGAAAAAAAATGTTCATTGTTATAATGAACTAACCTATAATTGAATTTTGTCCATAATCTCGATCAACAGCTGGTTCTAATTTTAATACGGAGCCAATTTTAGCATTTTCAACGATACTCAAATTAAAATTTTCATAAGAAAATTGTGGAATATGATCGTTGATACTATAGTCGAATAAAGAAAAATAAAAAATAGAAGTAAGAAGAAAGTCAACCATTTTACTTACTCTAACACACGTATGGTAAGTAATTCAATATTGAAATGTGGATTAAGTATAATTTCTAATTGTAAATCACATTGATCACATCGACATTTTCTCGTTCGACATAGTTCATCTCTATCAATTGGCTTTTGTATTGTTAATATTCCTCGTCCAGAATGATTTATAATAAAATACATATAGGGATATTCATCTCGTTTAGCCATTGAAAAATCAATGTTATTATTTTGTGTCATTGATTCATCATGAAATATATCTCGTAATTTGGCTACAGTCGAAGATACTGGTAATTTTTCTGTTGTCGTAACCGTATAGAAATCTGCATGAACAATATTGATGAACATCATTATGAATAAAATAATGGTTAGAATGAATAATGAATTTGATGTACGAACTGATATTTTCAAGATCGATTGTTCATGGATGTCATTATTAGTAGTTGTATTAGCATAATAAACAAAATAACCCATTTCTCGAACGACATGGTGTTTTAGAACCAATGTTGAACGAATTTTTGTTTAAACAATCTTAACAAAATTGTCTGTTGTGGATGTTTGCATAAATAGATAAACATCGATTAAGAATTTAAAATAATATTCATGAGAGACACATTTTTATCCTTGTTAAATTACACATTTCTAAATTATCTAGAAACAAAATAAAACTACTGATTTGTACATCAATAATATAAGAAAAAAAAGATTGATAAGCCATATTTGAAACATACAGTCTATTTTAATTGTTTCTCGATGGCTAATTTACACTATAGTTGATTGAAATGTCTACATCTATTTCAAACAAAAAAACAAAACACGTGTCGTTCACTCGTTAAAGTTGTATATCCATGTCAGTATCATATAATTGTCTGTACAAATCAATTAGACATATATCAATTGTCGGAGATACATTTCTGTTACATGTCCGGAAATGGTCAAGAGTTTGTTAAAACGATCATATTACAAGAGAAGAAGAAAAAACCATGTATTATTATTATAAAATGGAACGGAATACGAACTATATCACCACTTTTATTTTTTTATGTCTGATCATTATAAAAAAAACAAAAAATGGATCTGCAGTCAACAAAGAAAAGAAAAGAATAAAACGCTATATTGCTGGACAATAATACCTGGACGGTTAAACACTAAGTATAAAATTCCGTTCTATACGAGAATCACACGTATCTATAAGAAGAAAACTTTTTTTTTGCATATGCACTACCCCACTTCTGTTTACTCTTTCCAATTTTTTTCTATTTCACTGAGAAGTAAAAACTTCTAATTAAACTTCATTATATCACAGGGCTTAGACTCGTATACAGATTGTGGAACTGGCATGATCTTACAACAATGATATTATCTAGAGAACTGACTTTAACCCGAGCAAAAACGACCCAATTTTTTGGGTTATTTATCTAGATTCATCTCCACGTACATCTAGATGTACATGGAGCTGAATCTAGATAAATAACCCAAAAAATTGGGTCGTTTTTGCTTGGGAACAGATTACTTACTACGATATTAGTTAAGGTTTTATATAAGCATCTCTCTGAGTCTCCAGAAGCACTTGCGTATCAACAAACCTGGACTGCGTATCAGATTGCTACCCAGCCAACGAGGAAATAGTATAGAGCGAGTGATTTCCGCAAAAAAACAGCAGGTTTTCTTGGAGACTTGCTGATAGAGCACATCACACAAATATAGACGTTCTCAACTTCATAAACATTCAAAAAACAGCAATATAACGTTGAAAAAAAACATCAACACTAGTTCAATTTTTTGTATACAAATACTTTAACTTACCATCTTAAATATGTTTTTTTGTTTGTATTTGTTTAACAATGGGAGTTTCTGATTTCTATTTAGTTTTACATTTTTCTACTTCTTGATTTGTGCGTAATTTAAGATAAAATTAAATTTTTTATTGCTTAATCCTTCCATCTATCCTTTTTATCCGTCTTCTACTAATACGATCTAGTTGTGTTATGTATATTTTACATGAATCTTTTTTGTTAACCTTTTTCAAGGAGCAAATAAACTATCTCAATTTTAAAAGAAAAAAATCCTAATAATTAGGTTTAGGAGAATCAATCTTTGAATCATAAAACTCCTATTTCTATAGTTCAATTTTAAAAAGATAAATGAAACCGTTTAAATTTAATGCCGAGTTAAATTTTTGTGTTGGTTTTTTTTCTAATAACATATAATAACGAACAGCATATGTACATTATTCGCATTATTTTTTTTAATGACAATTCTACACTACGTATAGACAAGTGAGAAAAACATTACAAAGTCAAGTGACACACTCGTCAAATTATATCTATATATATCATGTGTACTGTATCGTGACAATTAACATACAAGATCATTATTAATTGTAAGTAAGCCTTGGGCATCAAATGTCTAGTAGTGGTACCATCCTTTCTTATCACTCAATGGTCAGTCATTATACTATTACTATATATTGTTGAATTTATTTCCTGTTTTTAATAATAAGAAGACAAACATGCTAAAACTCGTCGTCTTCCTCCTGAACATATATAACACACAGTATTGTAAGTAATCTATAGTGATGATGAAAAGAATGTTTAAAAAATATGCGTGTTATAGACTCATTCAATCGATTCAATAAAGTTTTTTTCAATAAACCTTTTTCTTTTTTAATCAATTCTACGCCATGTCTTGTTATATAGCTGATCTAGTAGTAGTAGTAGTAGTCGTCGTTGTCATATAATATTATCAACTTTGGCTAAATCTGACCTACATCTTCCCTAATGCATTTTTCTAATACACACACACACATATTTTAATCATTAAAGCTCCAATCAATTTACCTCTATATACGAGATGAATAACAACAAAAAAGAAGTGCCGCCATTGGCTCTCTCTCTCTCTATGTGTGTATATGTTCAAGTTATCACGTAATCTAATGAACAAAAACAATAGATTGAATTTTATTACCAAATAAAATTTATATTTGATTCATTTTTTTTTTAGGTTCATATAACGAACTCGTTAGACATCGTTCCAACTAGACACTGTCTCCTGTGTTAACTAAGTGTGCGTTTTTATAACACAATCGTCTTGTCTAGTCTATTTGTTAATATAAACACATTAAAACCATTCCACCTTAATATTATTTACAAATTAAATTGCCTTGAGGAGTCATGTCTCAAAAATTTCTATAGTGTTTCACTGATAATACAATGTTATTGTTAGAAGTAAGTAAAAGTGTGTAGTTTATTTGAACACCTCATATTATATTCAAATAATGAATAAGTAAAAATAAAGTAAACATTTTGGTCTCATACACATTATGGACAAAAATATCAACTATTAAAATTAGCAGAAAAAAAGTTAACAAATATGAATCAGTTTATATTAAGATGATGAACAATCAAAGAAAAAGAAAAAGAAATTTTTTTAATTTTTAACACTTGAAATCAGTTTCCAATCGTTCCTATCCTCAATAATAATCTTATAAGACTGACTAGTTTAATTTCAAACACTTTTAGATGTTTAGGATAGTCCAATCAAGTACTGATAATACAAAAAAAAAAAACTGCCTATATGTGTATTTTCAATATTTATTATTTATATTAAACATTCTAAATAAACAAATGAGCTTACTTAGAAGTCAGTTATGTTAATAATGGCAGATGTTAATTGTCAATAGGATATGATCTGTTAAAAAATGTTGTTGACCATGATAAAATAAGAATAAGAATAATAGCATGACCATATTGAGTTAAAATGATGTTTTTTATATAGTTTTAGAACTTGTAAGATATTTACTTATGATAGTAAAGAAAAAGCAGGTGTTATGATAATTAACAATAAAATGTTTCTATAAAGATGTTTTCTTCTTAAACAATTATTAATAATCAAAAAAACAAAAAAAAATAGAAAAGTACATATGACCCATAGTTTTGATAAACAAAATATTATCAATCGATAATAGAACGAGGAAACAAAAGTTTTTTTTTTAAGAAAATTTTCAACTTTTCTCAATATATCCTGGCCATTCTCGTTCTTATTTCTTTATTAAATTGATTATTTTAATTGATTTTTCGAATATCTAAAGTTCTATTTTGATCGTATGATGTTCGAATTAACAATTATTTTCGAATAGACAAATAATAATAATAATAATCATAATAATAACGTCCTTTCACTCTACACGATTGACAGACATCAATGTTTTATACTTGTTTTTATTCAAATACATCCATCTATTTTAGAATATATAGATATATTTTATTTTTTATTTATAGTCGGAAAAGAGAAGAACAATAACAGAAGAAGAAGAAAAAAAAAATACTTAAGCAATAGAGACAAATTCTAAAAATCTACCCGACTTTTATCTAAACTTTCTCTTACAACCTTAAACGACTATAATCGTTTGAACATCCTGAAGTTTTGTTTTAACATATACAATGTCATCGTTCATTCTTTTCTGTATTTTAATGCAATATTGTTGAAAATTATTGTTTTAGTAGAATATCTTTTATATTCATTAAGATATATATTTTAAGATGATTTTTTTTACTAAATAAAATGTTCAGTTATGTCTTATGACAAATAAATAAGTAAAAATATTGAATAAAAATAAATTGAAAAAAATATTCATCACAATTTTAAAAGATTTTAATGAAAAGAATTCTTTTAATTCAATTTATTTTTAATATTTGAAACAATGAATTCAAAATGAAGTATGTGAAATTGTCAGTTGACTCAGATTTCTTGTTTATAAAAGAGAATCCATTGAACCTAAGAGTGATTGTCCAAAGATCTATACAATCTACATATAGAAAAAAGGAAATGAGAGAGAGTCTTTGGATAATTTAGATATTTTTCTTCTTCGTTGGTCTAATTTTTCAAGTCACTCTTTCATTTTAAATCTAATGTCATCATAAACAGTATTTATGAGAGAGAGGCAAGATTATGTATTCGGAAGTCAAGTATCAAACATATACATAAAATTTCAGTTCATTTTATGTTTTCACGCATAAAATCAAACAATTGAAATGTATTCCGTTTAGTGAAACAATAGTACGAAATTGAAAAAAAAAAGAGTGAATTATGGCTGAATAATAATAAAATGCTATAAGGTCTAAGTCAAAAGTTGTATGTATTTCATCCTATAGAGAAAAAAAATAAAAAGTAACTATTAAAAATAGAAAATAGTGTCTCTAATGAACCATTTTATAACCTAGATCATGTTGCATAACATCTTATTTTGAGGATAATTCCAATTTCTATCCATATAACTATGAAATCAAATAGATTTAATATACATACCGTTTTAATCAACAATGTTGTATGTATAACTTCCGACAAATTAA